AAAAAAAAAAAAAAAAAAAAAAAAAAAAAAAAAAAATTGATCATTTTTACAACTTTAGCAAGATTTTTACATGAAACTTTTCCTCCCCAATGAGTGAACCACTGGGACAAATGCAATGACTCCTTACACAGTGTGATGTCATTGCTTTGATTCCTGCTAAGGTACCAGCCATTTTGCCCTCCACTGCTTTTGTATTATTAGAGCAAATGACAATCCAGTGAAGAAGGCAAAGACATCTTAGTATTATAGAAATTGCTATGATCTGGCTGGCCTCCTGAAAATGTCTTGGGAACCATTATTAATGGTAGAGCAGTTTATAAAAGATTTTCTTAAAAATATTTGTACTTACTATACTAAGCGTTATGTTCTTCCCTAGGGTTGTTTTGTTGGCTTTGACCTAGCACATGCCATTGGAAATGTTGAACTCCACTTACATGACTGGGGAGTTGATTTTGCCTGTTGGTGTTCCTACAAGGTACAAGCAGTTAATATATTCACATTCTTTTATTTCACATTGACGTTAATCTAAAGGAAAAAACTAGATCCACGGGCCAGTTTTAGGATTTGAGTTACTTTCCCTTCTTTCTTTCATTATTTTATTTTCTGATTTCGGTTAATAGTAGAGTCATATGATAGAATAGTATGATTAAAAACCTAATTTTAATATTCCTGTGACTATAGAGAACTTTTTTCTTCAATTCCTAGGCTGCTGTGAAAAAGTTCTGAAGAAAAAGCCCCACACTTACAACTTAATTTAAATTGATGAGGTTCTTAGTTCTTTTGTTGATAAGTTATGAAATTTCTACACATGTAAAGATAATTCTTAGAGAATCAACTTGATATTGGTATTTGGAGACAATTGAAATGACAAAGAGCAGGAAAATAAAACTAATTTTAATTTAGGTGCTTTAAAAATATGATACTTTTATTATCATTTAAATATTTTATGTAAAATAATTTAAATGTTTAAGCTTTGAAATAAGACAGACCTGCTATTTATCAGCAGGGGCAAAATTTGGCCAAAAAAGTAATAGCTATTTATGAGAATACTTCAAAAAGTTGGTGGAAAAAAATGAAATTAAAAGATAATCTGAAACTTTCTATGAAGTTTTTGAAATATCCTTGTATTCTCAACCTAATAATACTATTTTTCATTTGATTTTCTTTGAACAAGGTGACTCAAGATTCTATTTTGTTTTAAAAGCTCCAATAACCACACATTTTGAACTAGTCAAAAGTTGTAGTTTCATTAAAAAGGTCAGATGATTACATCGTTTATTTTTTGTCATATCTGTAGGTAAACCCATACAATTTAACTTATTTTTAATCTAGTATTTAAATGCAGGAGCAGGAGGTCTTGCTGGTGCCTTTGTCCATGAAAAGCATACCCATACAGTTAAACCTGCGTGAGTACCATCTTCAGATTCTTCTTTGGTGATGAACAAATTAATTTGCATTAATAATATGGTAAATTTACATGAGTTCTTTCATATGCTATCTGATAGGAATCTGGATTAGATTATAATTATTTTACTACTCTATTAACAGTGATATGCTTTGTCAGAAATAAATGCTTTCCAAAGAGTTCAATTGGTTGAACAGGAAACTTAAAAAAGGAAGCCTCAATGCTAAAAATGAGTCACTGCAATCATGTAGAGCAGATGGTTTAATGCAAAGAGACCACTTGAATTTTTTTTTCTAAAATTAAGCTTTAGAAAATTTCAAATTTCTCCATTGATGAATAAATCAAAGGCAACCAGAGCTGTGCCTAATAGAGCCTTAAATGTGGCATGTCATTATTAAAATTGCATCTACCTTGAAAGCTATAAATGTTGCATGATGGCTTGTAGGGAATATCTTCTGTCCTAAAAGACTTTATAATCCATGAAACCTGAAGAAGCTGAACACTGAACAACAGACTGACTACATAAAAAGTTATACTTTTCTATTTTATATAACTCTCCTCATTTTTTTAGAGCAGGCATAAATGCAAATGCAATACACCAACACATTTCCACATTTTTATTTGACTAGGGAACTCATAAGTGTTCCTTTTATTTTTATCTGGCATGGAGATGAAGAATAATATTCTAGGAAGAAAAAAAAAAAAAACCTTTTCATAATGGTGTTGGAGTATGTGTGATGAGGAGACTGTCTAGACTCCTAACAGATAATATAATAATGTTTGATTAGTTTTCTGAATCTTCTCGGCCACTGGCTGAGTGGCATACCTTTTCATAATGGTGTTGGAGTATGTGTGATGAGGAGACTGTCTAGACTCCTAATAGATAATATAATAATGTTTGATTAGTTTTCTGAATCTTCTCGGCCACTGGCTGAGTGGCATAATCTTTGTAAGAACTGAAGCTGAATTAACGATGGAGCTTGGAGTACATCACATCTCTGAAGTTCTGTGCATACAAATCTTAGGAATTTAAGATAACTTCTATAGGTTATTTAAACATGTCCAGAATTTCTTTAAAATTTTAAGGTTTTAAAATTATAGAGAGCATTTTCTTTAGACAGTATTTAGTCAGGTGGGCATCTTGCTTGAATATATTGTTGTCAGTACATTAGATTTTTCTCCATGTCCCAAACTCCCTGAGAAGAATATGAAGCATATATTATAAGAATATCATGCATATTTTAAAAGTCTTCCTTTTCATTTTTAGCAAATCCCATTGATAACATTCACCTAGTGTAATAGTTTTCCACATAGACTATATACCAGATATTGCTTGTTTTTGTGTGGTGAGTCACTACCCCGTCCATTTCTCATTTTCCATTTGTTTAAATTGTAATACAGGATCTGATGTATTATATCAACCCAAAGGGCAAGCTGGTGGTGGGGGTGGAAGTAATCTATACAAATTCTAGAGAAAGTCAATGTTAGGAGTTTACCTCTGACCTTACAGCATAGTTCTGTAACATTTGATATTTTTCTCATCATGGACAAGGAACAGGACAGGGTGAAGGGACTGTAGTGTGCTCACATGTACCTCATTCTGTGGAATTCCAAAATCTTCTAGACAATATTTAAATACAAGTTAATTCTATGCTCTCAGGAGAAAGACCATCTAGGCAGAACAGTTTCATGTTCCAGCTTGGTCTCTTGTGGGTCTGTAACCTGAAAAACATTCCTTGACATCCCAGTATTCTGGTCTCTTAATGGAGCATCTACCTCATAGGCAATTATTGTAAGAATAAAATGAGTTGATACATGTAAAGCACTAAGCATAGCCACTTAAGCATAATATGTAATCGATACATGTGAGGCTGTATGAAAAAATAAACCCCAAATTTGGGAAATAAAGCTGAAAGATGGGTGGCATTTTTTCATTTTTATTTTTAAATTTATTTTTTATTAGCATATTAATTGGTACAATCATACTTATTCTTTATGCCCGTTATCCAGTCTCTCCCCTTACCCTTTTATCTCCACCCTTCCCTCTCCTCCTCCCCACTTTCTCTTCTCTTCCCCCGTCTAATAACCATAGATCTGTTCTATCTGATAGATTAACTGTTCCTCTGTTGGTTTGTTGCCTAGATGATCTGTCCAGTAGTAAGGCAGGTGTGATCAAGTCCTCCCCTATTATCGTAAATCAAATGCTTCTTCTATTACTCTGTTTTAAAAAGTCACAGGGGCATTCTTTAAGAGCCTCTCTGAAGTATTGTTTGGTAATTATTTAGCGCTTTCCCCTAAGTACTTTGTTGACTCACTGTGAATTTGCATGTTAAAGGTAGATTTTTGCCCAGTGGAGAGCCTTTCTCTCAAGCAGGAAAGCTAATCCCAAAGGTTATGGTTTGTGACCTTGTAGGAAGTTAAATAGTTTGTATGTATCACTAAGTTCATTTCAGCTGGCTTTCTACAGAATGTATTAGTCTCCATTCCTTGAATTCTCTCTTGTATCTGCCTTAGCATCTTACTGGTTCCCTCATTAATTAGCAGGTTGAATGAGATCTTTCATGTGTGCTCATTTTGTCTTTGTATGAGAGCCATGCTTTTAACTTTTTTTTGAAAGTTATATGTAATTAACTGTCATTGCATTTTAAGTATCTAGCTTTGGAGACTTGGAAGGACTCAAATCAGGCTTGATTCCACAAGGTCACATTACAGGAAACCCTCCCTGTCACTGCTTTTCCATTTGTTCTTTGATTTCTCATAGTCAAAGCTTCTTATGTGATGTCAGAATGACTAATTCCAGTAATGCCAACTTCTAGCCTTAACTCCCTCTTCTGTACCAGGTATCATGTATTGTATTTAATTTGTGTTGGGGAATTGAAGCCCTTTAATTAGAAATGAGATCCAACAAATTCATAGGAGACAGGGACAAGCAATTTTTGGATAATCTGTTCATTGCCCCTGGTCACAAAAGAAAAGCTTTGCTAACACTTAACTTTGTGTTCCACAGTGTGTTTTACTCCTTTATGCATCTACAAGTTGAACACCACCTGCAGAGGGAATGGTAGAGTAAGCAATGAGAAGACATGAAAGGCTAAACATTACACTGTGTAAAAAAGAATAAGTGCATAGATATTGTAATGATGTTCAATAAATAAAACTATTTTGAAGATGGGGAAGGAAGTTTTCTAAGGAATAATATTTATAGTACAGAGGTCAAATCCAACTTAAATCTCAAAAGTTCCATTGTGAGTAGCGGCTTTATTGTCAAGTAATAAATATATTGCAGTTGTTAGGGCTCCAAGATCAGCAGGTTTAACTGCGTTAAATAAACCTTCTGTCACCTATACTTTTATGTTCTCTTAGAACTTTAGAGAGACTGAAGAGTTTTTCTGCTGTTTAAGAATTCAATATGTAGCCGATAACCAAATGGAGAACATCAAATACAGTGGAATGAATGTAACTGCTATTGATGTTGCATGCTTTGTAAAGACCTCTTTGTTGCTTAAAAAAGGGTGACATCTAGTGGCTAAATATATTATTTCAAATAAATAATATCCAATAACATTTCTTTCCTTGGTCCATTCACTGTTTAACAAGTATTTCAAATTATATATATTTAAATTATTTATTTTTCTTTTTGATCATTTTACTGTGCATTTATAGTGCAATAATTGTGTGGTTAAAGCCTTCAATAAGGTAGAACAGGATGCAGGTGGGAGTAAAGGTGAGGGGGCATTCCAGGTGCCTAGTGAAACAGAAGACTTAAATGTCCATCAAGGTGGGGTAAGAAAGGTGTCATGGGAATGGGTGGCCCACCTGGTGTAGAGAGTGGATCCAGGATAAGTAATACTGCATTCTAGATGTTTAATATTTGGTGTATAATTTTGAAATATTATTTATATGATACTTTCATTAGCAACTGTAAATTATATCTGTACCAAGAAATTTCACTTACTTTTATTGTTTTAAAACAGGCATTTTGGCCCTTGTTCAAAACTGATGACCTAAGACTTTTTTCCAAGAGCCTTTTGCCCATTGAGAATGAGTAAATTAGAGGCCACAGTCAATCCACTGCATTAAGCATCATAACTCAAGCTGTTATTCTCAACCAGAATTAACCTTTTCCTGGCTCATCATCACCTTTTTTCATCACAGTGTCATATGCTAAACCTTGTCTGGAGTTAAAAATTATAGTTAATTAGGACTGGTTATGAATAAATGACTTCTTGGGTATCCCCCTCGCCCCCACTTCAGAGCAGACGTCATTTCAGTCTACAAAGTTAAATATTGCTCTGAGATATGAAGGGAAATACTTTTAATTGTACAAATTTGACAATCAGAAGTGTATCACTAAAAGAAGTGCTTAAATAACCTTTGTTTATTTATTTTTTAACTTTACAAATGTCGACCATTCTGGGACACTTTAGAGCAATATTTAACCTTTTGATTTTACGGGATTCAAAGATATCTGAATCTCATAAAAAAATTCTTCTGTAAGAGCCTGTAGGCTGCAGTTCAAGATACTGACCCCTCCTTTTTTTAAATAGAGACTTTACTATGAAAACAGGAGTGGATCATATAAGCTATTAAGATTCTATCAGTTTTATATCCTATGCGATGAAATTATAATACTGGAAAACTTCTGTTCCTCTTTTTACGTGCTGGCATAAAAAACCTTCAAATGCCCCATTGTATGTTCATTTCCCTGGGATTTTTCTTTTTCTTTTTTTAGCTTTTTCTAGTGGCCAAAAATGGAGCCTACTATAATTTGGATAAAATGCTTGAATTTTAAGTCATGCCAACACATTTCCATAATCAGTTAGAGGTATTCGATTGAAAACTTTAAATAGAGATGACATATTTAAGGCTTTATCATGGGCTTGGGTCATCTCCTTTATTGCTACAAGTAATTTGCAGGTTAAAAAGAACCAGCCAAAGAGTCTGGTCGACTTTAGTGCAGGGTGAAGGCAAATTTTAGAACTCAGAAATGCATGTTATGTG